CTTTGCTAAGCTTGTTCTAAGTAGGTGCTGTAGGCCACTGAGCCATCTCACCAGCCCCCTATATAAGTTTTTAATTTAAAATAATCTTTAAATTACTCACAAGTAGAAGTCTAGTATTATCGGTAACAAAAGAAAGTGATTTTGAAAATACAGTAAAATTCAAACATTCTTAAATTTTCACAAGATTCTGTCATCTGTGGAAACTTCCGAACTTGATGCTTGCTCGTTGTTAAAGTGAGAGATGCCTAAGTTCACAGTCTAAACAATTATTTATTTTACTATAGAGGAGCAAGATTCTAGATACTGCCAAAATCATCTCAAACGCCTTTCTCCGCAGATAAATGCTGGAAGGACGCACAAGAGGAAGAAGTTGGTTCCACCTCTGGAGTGGAAATACTATAATTACAAACAACTCCTCGAATTTCTAAGGCAGTTTTAGTTTGCAGAGTATACTGTGTTTCTTAGCATCTCAGCTGACCACTGGGTGACCTGGAAGAATGCGGATTATCACATCCACGTGACTGGATTAGCAGGCATGCTGCCAGACCATAGGGCGGGACGGGACAACTCAGACAACCTTACCGAGGCCTGGCAACTAACTTCGTAACAGCAAAGTTCTTTTTCCTCCTTTAAAGCAACTTCCCAAGTCTCGGGCCCCGCGCTAAGGATTTCACGGACATCATCTAGTTCAAGCTACGCTTGTTCTGGGGGTGGGTACTGTTACCTTCCCTCATAGAAGACAAAAGTGAAACGGAGGCAGCGGCCGAGGTCACCCTGCCAGCAATGGCGAGAGATTTCGGCTGACAGAAGCCCCGCACTTGGGCCACACGGGAGAGGCCGGCTAGGTGGGGAAGGGCGCTGACCTGTCAGACACTTGTTCCTGGGTGAGCTTCTTGTCGCTCTGCAACAGTATGGACACGTAGTGGCGGATCATGCCTACGAAGAAAGTGATGATCACGATGGGAAGAACCACCCAGAGGCGGATGTTGGAGTCCAGCAGCAGCTCTGGCCCCGCCATCTTCGCTGAGAGCCGGCTGCCTGCTGTGGGGAGTGCGGTTTCCCTCCGAGTCCGCTCCGGGGCCTCCTCTCGCGGCTCAGCTGGCCGACCCCGACACTACTACAGCTTAGATCCTGAGGGACGCGCTTCCAGCTGGGTCGCCGGGCGCCGACTTCCGGCGCGCACGTGTGGCGTCACGCGCACGCTTGCGTCACCGAAGGTTCCGTCAGGCGGGAAAGCCCAAACTTGGGGGCGGTACGGCTACTGTCGGGCGCGCGTATCCTCCATCTCTGTCTCTCGAAGCTTCGTGACCCAGCGGTCTCCAGGCTCAAGCCGAGTACGGCTTTTCCCTCCGGGGCTCCGAGTCCTGAACCTCGACTTTCTTTATCTGTCCGTCCCCCAGGTACCTTTTTGAGTTGTTAAAAAGACAAACGAAGGCGGATGTTTAGCCGGGCGTGGTGACACGCACCTATATCATAGCACTCCAGAAGGCTGAAGCGGGAGGATAGAGTTCGAGAGTAGTTTGCATACTTTGGTAATTTAGCAACTTAGCTAGACCATCTCAAGATAAAAAGTAAAATGGCGCACGGTAGTGGTGGGAGATGAAAGCCCTAGATTCAGTGGTAGAAGGAAAGGAAGGGGAGGGAGGGAGGGAGAGAGCGCGAGCGAGCGAGCTCGAAACCGGAATAGGCTGGTCTAGATAACTGACCTCGACTTCTAGGCACTTCTAGAAGCAAGATTAGCATGGTGTTGTGGGGCACACCTGCAATCCCAGCATTTAGAAGCTCAGGCCAGAGAACCACTGCAACTTGGAGGCCAGTCTACATAACATAGTGTCTCCCCCACCCCCAACCGAGGATTGAACTCAGGCTCTTGAGCTTGCCAGAGAAGCGCTTATTCCACTGAGCCATCTCCCCGGCCCTACATAGTGTCTTCAAACATATATATCCCAAGAAACAAAAGCAAGATGCCCTTACATGTACTGGGCATGTGTGTGGCCAAGGTAAAGGATTCTGAGTTGCATTCGTTCTTGTTGGCAAAATGACTTCCAGTGTTTATAGGTATTAAAGGATACATTGTAACATAGTCTGTGTGGGCCCTGTTGTTATTGTCAGTGTTGAGCCGAGTTTGGCAGTGCGCCCGCAATCCTAGCACTGGAGGGTGAGGCAAGAGGATGGGTTCCCAGGTGGGGAACTTAGTTTCAGGGAGATCCTGTTTTCAGATAAGAACAGCTAAGGATGTTGCTTAGTGTGAAGTCCTGAGGTCAGTGGTGGTGAACCTTTTAGAGCTTAAGTGATACAGTGTGCTACAGGGGCAGTATGCCATAGATTCGCTGCCACTGCCTTAGGTTTAATACCCATTACAGAAAGAAAAGAAAAAATAAAGTCAGTCTTAGTGGTGGTTAAGAGTGCAGGTTCTGGAGGCAAACGACTGTTAGAATCCCTCCCCTCACTGCCACTGATGACAAAACTAACAGTGGTACCTACAAAAAAAGTTTTATGGGAACTAAATATTAAGTGTAAAACACTAAAGGCAGTGTTTGTTAACTGTCAGTGTTTTACCTGATGTGCCAGCCATTCCTTTTTTATTTTTAAGGCATATTCTTGCTGTGTAGTTCAAATAGGCCATGGACTCACTATGTAGCCTCCAGGCTGGCCTCAATCTTGCAGCAGTCCTGCTTCAGCCTCCCAAGGGCTGAGATTGCAGGTATGTGCCACTAAGCCTGGTTGCCAGGCATTCTTACTCAATTACTACTGTATTCTCAGAAATCTTTAGGCGTGGTGCTGCTCACATCCGTAATCTCAGGTACTGGGAGAAGATAGTAAGTTCAAGGCCAGCCTGGGTAATTTAGCAAGAAAAAATAGACTGCGTGGTACTGCAACGAAATATATTAATATATATATTAATATATAAGTATATTAAGTATATTTAATATATCCCCCCATACCAGAACTCAAACTCAGGACCTTGTACTTGCCAGGCAGGCTCTTGTGCCACTGAGCTATATCCCTAGCTCCGAGCTCTACAGTATATGATGTGATGGGCTCCTAGATAGACTCTGGAAAAAGAAAGCTAGAATAGCAGACTTCCTTTGTCAGGGATACTGGAGGAACAGTTTTCAGAGAAGATGATACTTACTAACTCTTAAAGGATGAGTAGGAATTTCTGGGCAACCAAGAACATTTCAAGTGAAAAAAACACTTGTGCAAAGACAAGGTTCCGGTACCAGATAAGCTAGAAAGCTGTGTAATTCAGGCTCTCCCATGTTTGTGCAGTCATTTCTAACTCTGCAGGTTTTCCTGTTCCAGTGAGTTTCTTCCCACACCTGTACTGGTAGACTCCTGTTTCAGTACTCAGGTCTATGTTTAAAAATGACTTTCTGAGACTGGGCGTGGTGGCTCTTGCCTGTAATCCCAGCTCTTGGGAGGCTGTACACAGGTGGATCACTATGAGTTCCAATCTAGTAGTGAGACCCTGAACACCCTGTAGACCCTTCCCTAAAAGTACAAAAAAAAAGACTTTCTGAAGCTGGGTGTGGTGGAGCTCACATGTAATCTCAGCTCTTGGAAAGCTAAGGCAGGAGGATTACTGTGATTTCAAGGCCCGCTTGAGCTATATAGTGAACTCAAGGACAGCCTGAACTACACAGGAATATCCTGTCTCAGTAAAATAAAGGACTTTCTGTGATGATAAGGAAACTAGATGGTAGAGGCTTTGAGATGGGAAGGGGAAAAAGGTAAGGGGAAGGAAAGAGAAAGGCAGATAAAGCATTGAAAACAAGCAAGATATATGCATGTATCAACTCCTACTAACATTCTAGAAAAAAAAAAAAACCTATATTACAAACGTGCACTACTTAAAGTGACTTTTGGGTTGAGGGTGTAATTCAGTGTTAAGAGCATTTGCTTAGCATGTACAAGGCCCTGGGTTCAATCCCTAATGCTACCAGTATTAAAAATAAATAAAACATAAAATTTCAAGCCAGGCATGGTGGTGCACATCTGTACGTATAATCCCAGCACTTGGGAGACTGAGGCAGGAGGATCATTTGGAGTTCAAGGCCCTACTGGGCTACAAAGTGAGTTCAATGTCAGCCTGAACTACATAGTGAGACCCTGTCTCAAAAAGACAATGTCTGTCTGTCTAGATCTTCCTTAGAGAAAAGTCTCCCTGGAAGTTTGTCCCTCCTTTTCACCAGTTTTGCCTCCAACTAAATTAAGTTTCCTTGTAGTCCTGTACTTTTCTGTCACTTACACAACTGTAGTTAGGTAAGTTGAATATTTGCTATAATACGATCCTTGAGAGCAAGATACATGTTTTGTTTGCCCCAGCACTTGGCACAGACCTAAGTATGGTATTGAACTAGTTCAAGAAAAGTATATTGGAACCGTGTGATAATGGGTCTTGAGTCTCAGTTGAGGAGCTGTATGTTTTTTCCTTTAGCAACAGGACTGTGGTCTGGTAAAAGACGACTAGGTAAGCACACCTTAAAAGAAAGTTATTGGGGCCAGGGAGATGGCTCAGCGGCATATGCGCTTCCCTGGCAAGCGTAAGGGCCTGAGTTCAATCCCCGGTTCTGAAAAAAAAAAAAAAAAAAAGACTGGGTGGCTTTTAGGGCCAGCGATGCAGCTCAGTGGCATAGTGCCAGCCTGGCAAGCACAAGGCCCTGAGTTCGATTCCCAATAGAAAAAAAAATAAAGAACAAAAGAAAGTTATTGACTAAATATAGGCATGGATAGCACCTGGATTTAGATAGCATTAATACAAAGATTAAAATACTTCTAGAACTTGGAAGGCTGAGGATTGCTGAGAGTTTCAGGCTAGCCTGAACTACATAGTGAGATTTTTGTCTAAAAATAAAAAAACCCCACCAAAACCCAAAACTGATTGTTTTTATTTTGTGAGACAGGGTCTTGCTGTGTAGTTCTGGCTAGCTTGGACTCATTATATAGCCCAGGCTGGTCTGAAACTTGCAGCAATCCTCTGCCCCAGCCCTCAGAGTGCTGGGATTACTGTACCACATTTCCAGTCAAAAACTCTGGTTTTGGATAGAGCAGTTTTCCCTCAGCCATAATTTAAATTCCTCAGAGTGTGGCTTCTAGAAGTAACTTCAGTGTTCTCATTTTGCTCTAGTAAGTACTTACAGAAGACTTTGATCAAAATGATTTCCAAAAAAAGGCTGTCAAGATCGGAGGATCAAGAAGCATCCATAGAAGAGGCCTCTAGTAAGTATCTAGCTGTTTAGTGCTTTAATTTTCTGAACTGTAGTGAATGTGTGAGACACTTAAAAGAGCTGTAAAGTTCTTTTTTGTTTGTTTGTTTTTTTGTTTTTTGCTTGGTGGAACCAGGGATTGAACTCAGGCCCTTGCTCTTGCCAGGGAAGCGCTTATTCTACTAAACCATCTCCCCGGCCCCCAAGCTGTAAAGTTCTTACTCTTCAAACCGGAAGTCATCGAAGATTAGCTTTGCACAGTGGCAGTATCGTAGCCAATGAGGTTTATCCGAGGCACAATTATTGCTAATTGAAGATTAATGGGTAGAGCCCAGGGATCTAGAGTCAGGAGATTTGCAATTGCATTTTGGCTTCTGAATTCCATATCTGACTTTGGGTATACCTAAGCCTCTAATCTCTGGTAACTGTGCTGATAAGAGGAGTCTGGACTCTAGACTTACTTGTGCTAGGACACAAAGATAAGAGTATCTACTCTTTAAAGGAAAGTTTTGTTCTCCTTTTTGTCTTACAAAAAGTAGCTCAGATAAATGCTAGGAATGTGATGTATAAAGGAAAGGTGTGTCAAGGCAAGCAGATCATGGGGACTTCCTGCGTGAGAGTGAGGATGATGAGGACCCCATTAGCCCTGAAAAGGTGTTGATGGTCTTTTCATTTATCATACATGATTCCTATTACTGTAGTTCTCTCTTGTTATTTGAAGAACTATTTCTTATAGGTATAGGAATTTAGGTCCCAATACAATTGATATTGATGAATACTTAAAATTATTGAGAATGATTAAAATGTCAAGATCAGAACTCTTAGGAAAGGCTTAATTTAGAAAAGGAAATTTTGAGACTAACATATTAGTTAAGGGATTATAGAATATAGAGAAATTGATAGAAAATTTGAAGAGGAGTAATTTAGGAAGTTGCTAAACATAAATGTGATACTCTGAAAGTATTATTCTGTAAAGGGGAGAAGATGTTTGAATTTAGGGCTATTTGAATATTTGAGTTAAGGAGTGAGTTTGGAGGAGTTAGGTGTTTCCTGGCAGGTTGGGAACAGACTGATCTTCTGGTTCTGCCTTAGTGGCCCTAAGGGAGGCAGGGAGTGGTTTCTGTTTCATTCTGCTCAGGGCTTTGTGAGAGGAACGGGAATGAAAAAATGAAAAAAACTGACTGTGTGTGGTGGTTCCAGCCTGTACAGGAGACTGAGGCAGGAGGATGTTTGCAGGTACATAGTAAGTTCAGAGCCAGCCTGGTCTACATAGTGAAACACCATCTATAAAAAAATGGAAAGGAAAAAGCAGAATTGCATCATTCAGGACAAAAAGTAGACTTTCTTTTTAGCTTCAAGGCTATCTTTTGTTATTGTTTTTGTTATTATTTGTTATGGGATTGAATCCAGGGTCTTCACACATTACCTCCCATGCCCTGCCCTTTTTATTTATTCTCTTACTGAGTCACTCATGCCCAGGCTGAGCTTGAATTTGTAGTTCTCCTGACTTAGCCTTCCAGAGTGATGGGATCATAGGTATGTGCCACTACACTAACTTTTATGAATTGAAAGCCTTAGGATGAAAGCATTTTGGCTTTGTACTCAAAGACAATGCAAGAGAAACTACCCCACTCTATTCTTTTCCATTCCATTCCCTTCTGTTTTATTTAGAAACAGGGTCTCACTATGTAGTTCAGACTCACTGTGTAGTACAGGCTGGCCTTGAGCTTGCAGAGATCCTACCTCAGCCTCCTGAGTGCTGGGATTACAGGTGTGTGCCACTGCCCAGCTTTTGAAATACGTATTTTTCATGATTGTAGTGTAGCGGGTTGCAGATAGCAGCCTGAGAGACACTGGATGATTTAAATTTGGCAGGGAGAACATTTCAGTGGGTATGCTCGTTACAAGTGGCATGCTTTGAATTCTTCGATTAAAAACTGAATTGAAGAAAGTAATTCTATTTGTTGTTTTATTTACCCTTTATTTATAAGCTGCTATTACTGAGATTTTTAAATATAGTTTCTTTTTTTCCCCCATAATTTTATTGAGAAACAAATAGCAGTGAGACAGTTTCAAACCAAATTGGTAGGACAGTTTCAATAACTAACACATTGTATACATTCTTCCTAGTGGTTAATTGCTGTACAAGATGGAGACATGATATCCTGTTTACAAACACTATTAGAACAAATCCTTCCATTCATTAAGAGAATGTAACTATATATCTACACAACCATTTTGAATACACAGATACAAAATGGACATCTGTATCCCCTTTTTTTGTTTAGTTCCGTTATTTGAGTATTATGGGTATGTTAACTCAGCAAAATATTCTAAAAGAGTCCAGTAGTCCATAATAGTATTGGGTCTTCTGCTTCACTGGCAATGTCAGAAATTGTTGACCTGAGTCCTCTACAGCTCAACATAACAGCATGGCTTTACTTCTTTTTTTTGCGGAACCAGTGATTGAACTCAGGCCCTTGCGCTTGCCAGGGAAGCGCTTATTCCACTGAGCCATCTCCCCAGTCCCAGCTTTACTTCTTATACTTTGCTTTTATATTTTTCTGCTGGATGGTTAAGACCGAGATAAAGTAAGACCTATGCAACAAGAGTTGTAGCTTTTCGGTCTGATAAGGTCAGTGAAATCCCCTCAGGATTTATCCTGAGAAGCTGTACCTCAGATTGTAGAACCTTTGTCAGTATCAGCCATGTGGATGAGTCATGGCCATTGCTTGGCCAGTGTGCTCTCTGTGAAAGCCTGAGGGAGTGTCTTCTCTCCATGGGACTCTCCTTAGGCACACTCTACATCATTGATCACTTTCTTCTTTGGCCCCATAATCCTTGATCAGAAAATTTGGGACACTACCTAGTTACGTGTTGTTACAGTACAAGTTCTCATATGTCCTGAGTCTTAATTGACCTTGGAAGGCTAGGGTCAAAATGTTGGCTTTCCTTGCGACCCTCCTTTTTCTCTAATTTTGGTCTGCAAACTTAGGTTGTTAACTCTCCAGAAGAGAAGTTTATTGTTATTGTCGTACAACCTAGGCTGTTAAGCTTAACCTCACTATCAGTCTGAATGTCAAACATCTTAGGCATAACATGGAACAGGTATTTTTCATTTCACTCCAGCCTCAAATCTAGTAAAATTCTTTGGGAACACATTCATTTTTCTCTCAGAATTGTTATTTCTGGGGTTTTACTTTTTTTTTTGCGGAACTGGGGATTAAACTCAGGCACTTGCACTTGCCAGGCAAGTGCTTATTCTACTGAGCCATCTCCCTGGCCCCAAGGAGTTATACTTTTTTTTTTTTTTGGAGTTTTACATTTTAATCTTTATTTTAATTGATATTCTTGAAAATTTTATCTATTTTCAGAGACCAAGAGGCAACAGCTTCCCAAAAAGACAAAGAAATCTCATGCTTCTAATGAAGTTGAAGAAAATGATAATGTGTTTGTAAAGCTTCTTAAGACATCAGGACTTACTCTGAAAACTGGAGAGAATCAGAATCAACTAGGTAAATTTTAATCTAAATCTATCTTTTGGGTTTAGAGAAAAGATTTAGGGCTAAGTGATGGGTTTCCTAACTAAATATGCAGTGAAGATTTAAAATGAGCTATTAAGGCTGGGAGCCAGGCATGGTGGCACACACTTACAATCTCAGGGTTCTGAAACTGTGTTTGGTAGTTCTTTTTAATTTTGAGGCAGAATGTCACTAAGTTGCCTAGCTAGTCTCAAAGTTGCATTCTTTCTTCCTTACCTGTGTGAATAGCTGTGATTGTAGGCATATATCCTCACATCTGGCTGGCAGATCTATTTTAGAAAACCTAGTTGTGCTGTCCTATATTATAGTCACATCTTGCCTTTGAATAGAAACAAAAAAGGCTGGTGATATAGCTCACTATGTAGATCTTTATTTTAACTCCCAGGACTGGGGAAGAAAAACAAAAAGAAAAGTCTTTTAATGTGTTTGCAAGTTTTGCCTCTGAAATTAACTTGAAAGTCTTGTTACTGCTTTCCTCAGATAAGAAACTTAGATCTTTAGGGAAGACAGTAGTAGTAGGCAGATTTATAGACCATGGTGACCAGCTGTCTTTCCTTCTAGCTGTGGATCAAATAGTTTTTCAAAAGAAGCTCTTTCAGTCCCTGAGGAAGCATCCTTCTTACCCTAAGGTATATAATTTCTTTGTGATATTCTTGTCTTTGTTAGCAGCATTTTAGGATTAGGAATTTAAAGACATTGCTATGTAGTTGAGTAGGCTAGCATGAATTTAGCTGGCAAGAAAATGTCAAGCTAAAAATCTTACTCTTCTATTTTCAAATCGCTTTACTAAGGTCATAGAAGAATTTGTCAGTGCCCTGGAGTCTCACATTGAAGACCCTGACACCTTCAGGAACTGCCTCTTGTCTTGTGAACGCCTGCAGGATGAGGAATCAAGGTATGAGGGGAGGCATGAAGTCCCTGGGTTTTAGTCTGTTACAGTGAGCACCCTGGGATGAGAGGAGGTAGTTTTTTACTTTGGAATTATAATTCTCTTTCCTCAGAGTTTAGCCCTTACCTTGAAATTATTAAATTTTATCACTCTAAGACTAAGAACTAGGTTTATAGACTATGTCTTACCTATGTTAATACAATTTCACATCTAGTAAGAGCTATCTTTTGGTTTTCTGCCTTTTCCCTTTTTCATCTAACAAGATTATCTAATTTTTTTGGTGCTGGGAATTGAACTTGGAACCTTGTACTTGTCAGGTAGGCACTGTGTTGCTGAGCTATCTCCTCACCCCCCCTCCCCCGTGATTATGTTATAATGCTTAAAGATTTTGTATTTATCCAGTTTTATGAAAAATTATGGTTAAAATATTAAAAAAGGAAAAAGCAGAAACAAATACCTCTTCTTTACAGCATGGGTACATCTTACTCTAAAAGCCTCATCAAACTGCTGCTGGGGATTGACATATTACAGGTGAGAGACTGTTGCATTTTTTTCTGCGAACATTTGGCGGATGTAATGTGTAGTGCCCAGTTTTTAAGTGGCTGGAGCTCAAGGTAGAGAGAGGATACTTACAAGAGCTTTCCCATAGTAGTCCTGTGGCTGAGATGAGTCTGGTTGGGTGATCAGGTGATAACCTGTGCTGAGGGCCCAGGCCATCTGAACATCCCATTTATTTGTTCTTTCAACAGAGATTTTTTTTTTTTTTTTTAATTTTAGGGTAGGGTCTACAGGGTGTCCAGGGTCTCACTACTAGATTAGACTCATAGTGATCCACCTGTTTATAGCCTCCCAAGAGCTGGGATTCCAAGTGTGTGCCACCACACCCAGTCTTAATTGTGGCCTAGTCTCAATTGCTGTCTCAGCGTGCCCTAGGGGCAGAGCTAGCACAGTAGGCCCTGGAATGGAACTCCCAGCCCCTGTGCCTGTTTGCAGGTGCTTAATCCAGCCCCTGTGCCTGTTTGGCTGGCCCGCCTTCAGCAGAGATTGTTATAGCTGCATTGTCTGGGCTCTGAAAATGTGATCATTTATGTCACTTCCCATTTAGCTTTCCAGCTGTTTACTTCAAGTTAATTGAGTGGATGCCTTTCTCTTCCAGTTAATTGAGTGGATGATACATTGACATAGTTTTAAACATTACAAATTGTACAAATGTATACAATGAGCAGTCTCCCTCTCATGCCATGCTCCATTTCTCTTTTCCATTTTTTTCTTATGTTCTTTATCTTTTCATTAAAAATCTTGAAAGTTAGTGATCTTTAAGTCTATGGGTTTCTTTTTTCATGCTGGAAAGACACTCTTTTGGAAACTATTTGATAACCTTTTAAAGTCTTTGCACTTCATAGATCAACAGTTACCATATTTAATAATATTTTTATTTGGTTATTTTCATCTTGCCTTGAAAATTATGTTTTGATATTTCAAATGTCATTGTATTTCAGTAGCTTATGTGAAAAACATAATTTATGTGGATATCTATATAATTAGAGTATATCAATTATGGCAAGGTCCTTGAGAACTCAGGCTGGAGAGAATTCTGGCTAATTATACATTTCTATTGTGTGTTTTGAGATTGTCTCCTAACCTCTTATATCTTCTTTTTTTAGCCTGCCATTATTAAAACCTTGTTTGAGAAGGTGCCAGAATTTCTTTTTGTGAAGTAAGTAGATTTATTGTGGAATGCTTACAATAACTCACAACAACCTAATAAATATACTGAAGTATATTTATATATATACATATATATCTGGAACACTTAATCTTTTTTTTTTTTTTTTTTTTTTTAAGACAGGGTCTTGCTATGTAGTTCAGGTGGCCTTGAACTGGTCTCAAACTTGGCAGTCCCGCCTCAGCCTTCTGAGGGCAAGGATTACAAATATGTACTACATGCCTAGCTGGAAAGTTTTTCTAAAATGTTTCTCTGAAGATCATATTTATCATGATGCCAGATTCTTACATTACTACTAAAATTATATTGAGGTGTGGTTGACATTTTATCTTTTTTTAAAAATATTTATTTATTTTTATTTATTACATTTATTTATTGTGTGTGTGTGTGGCCAGCTCAGCCCACCAGGGGGCGGGGCTGGCTGGCATGTGCTGGGGATCGAACTGCGGTCCCTGTGCTTTGCCAAGCTTGTTTCAAGTAGGTGCTTTAGACCACTGAGCCATCTCTCCAGCCCCAACATTTTATCTCTTAATGATTGGGTGAATATTAGCAGGATTTAGCTGGTCCAGCGGCAAATGTCTTAATCCTCATACTAAGAAGCCAAGGCAAACAGGAGGGTGACATGTTTTAAGCCCAGCCTGGACAGTTTAGGGAATTAGTAAGACCTGTCTCAAATAATGCTGGGGATGTGCGTAGCTCAGTGTGATGGCCTTGGGTTCAATCTGCAGTACCACAATAAATACGTTTTTTGCTTGTTTTAAAATTTTTTTTGTATTTTAGTACAGGGTCTATAGAGTCTCACTACATACATCGGACTTGTACTGATCCTCCTGTTTTCAGCCTCCCAAGTGCTGGGATTATAGGCATGGGCCACCGCACCCAGTCTCAGTCCTGTTTTAGCATGCCCCAGGGGCAGGGCTGGCACAACATGCTGGGGATCAAACCAAAGTATGTTGAGGGAATGATTAAATGAATGAATATAAATACTATTGACAGGGCCAGCCAGATAGCTCAGTGGACTAAAGTGCATGCTTAGATAGAGCACAGTAGCCAGGGTTCTATCCCTGAGCTGTGCCAGTGTCAGCCGTGCCCCTAGGGCACACTAAGATGGGACTGAGACTGGGCATGGTGGCCCGCACCTGTTATCCCAGCACTTGGGAGGCTGAAAACAGGAGGATCACTAGGAGTCAGATCTGTATAACGAGACCTTGTAGACCCTGTACTAAATTAAAAAAAAAAAAATGCTATTGTCATTAGTAGTGGTAGTAGTAGTCTTCCTGAGGCAGTCTCACTATGCAAATCAGGCTGGCCTTGACTCACTTGGTGGCCCAGTCTGGCCTTGAACTATGACCGTACTGCCTCAGCCTTCTGAGTGTTGGGATAATAGGTGTGCACCACCACACCCAGCCCAAAATATTATGTACCCTGGGTTAATTTATGTACCCTGGGTTAATCCTAGAAGAGTAGGTTGGTAGATGGCAATAGTGACTGT